ACATTGGTAGAAAATCTCATGAGACCAAATAATAACTTCAGGTTATATAGTTGAGTGAACAGTACTGGATCGATGTTAATTTCTTAGTTTACATGATACACTTATCAAAATGTACACATGAATATTAAGTGTTAACATTAGGGGAAGCCAGTTGAAGGTTATATGGCAATGTGTCTTACTTTGCAATTGTTGTGTAAATCTACAATTTTATTTCAAAATAAAGTTTTTAAAAACTGTTGCACAGGGGATCCCTGGGTGGCTCAGCAGTTTCACGCCTGCCTCTGGCCCAGGGCGCGATCCTGGAGTCCCAGGATCGAGTCCCACGTCGGGCTCCTGGCATGGAGCCTGCTTCTCCCTCTGCCCGTCTCTCTCTCTCTCTCTCTCTCTCTCTCTCTCTCTCTCTCTCTATCATAAATAAATAAAAATAAATCTTAAAAAAAACTGTTGCACAAGACACTGTCAGATGACCTCTGATGTCGAAATAGGAAGAGGGATAGATTACTGAGACATACAACATGGATCAGCTACAGTTGCCTACCATCAGTCCCCAAGCCCTTGTCCCCACCCCAGGTCAGAAAAGCCAATGAAATCATGGGCCACATCAATAGAATGTGACGTCCATGACAAGTAGTAGTAGTAATAACACCGTGCTGGTTCAGACCACACGTCAGAAGATTTCATTCCCTTCTGGATGGCACATTCTAGAGAGACGGCAGTATGTTTACAGACAGATCAGCCTCTTCTATGGGATGGCTGGAGGAATGGAGAAGTACAAGACAGAACAAAAGAGGACCCAGGGACTATGAGGGTCTCCGTTTGCAACGCAAAGGGCTGGCACGTATCAAGGAGATGGGCTGATTTCGTGAGTTCCTGAAAGCAGAACCAAGGCCAAAGTTGAGGTTGCATGTGGAGACAGACACTGGGGCTCCGTGCAACAGTTCTGATAATCCCCACTCAGAACGTGAGACCAAGAGCTCCCCGTGGTTGGAGACAGGCCAGAGGCTGGATGAGCATCTGGTGGGAATGTGAACTGGAGAGCCTTTCATGTGCCTTTGAACTGCGAGCACCTGTGATTCTCTGGTCAAGGAGGAGAGCACAGGGGTGAATGTCACTGGGCCATCCAAGCTGCCCAATAAACCCGAAGAAGATTGTCAGACTCAAGCTACAAATTCCATTCTTCTCCTTGAGAAGGCCACTGGCAAAACAGGGATCAGGATAAAAGAAACTTCTCTGGCTACACCAGAAAAGAGATCCAACAGCAAAATATCCCTGAATTTGGTGTCCCTTGGGCCTATAAGTGTGTCCTCTGCTTCTGTGTCAGAATGGTCAGCACCTTAAGACCACAGATTCTAGAATCCTAGATTTAAGTGGCCCTAGGGATCACTGGTCTTGTCTTCCACCCACTATAATTAAAACGTTGAGACAAGCCTTTTCACCTGTCATAAAGGGTCCAGTCTGCACCCACGCTGGACAACAAAACCTGTCATTTCATCTACATTACATGGGTCTGCACCCTTGGGTATGACTCTATTTCCCTCAGCCTATTTGTCACAGGACTAAATACACCGAGTTTCTTTATTTATTGTTCAAGAAGGTAATCACTCTCCTCTAGACCCTCTCCAGTTTGTCAGTGATGTCCTAAAATGCATCACTTAAATTAGGCCAAATAGTGTACATGTGCTCTAAGCAATGCAAAACTGCAACAATCGCATATTAGGGACATTATAGCTCTATTAACATGGCATTCCTCGAGGCTCCCACTGGCTTTGTGGCCAACTAAGCCCCATGTGGAATTCCACCAAAACAGGCCCCGTTCCAGGTAACTACTATTGAATTTTGGAACCCAGTGGTTAAATTTCGTCTTGCTGACTTTGTGCTATTCTGTGAGCTCATCAAGATCTTTCTGAACATTGAGAGTAACAGCTGCCACAACAGCGTTCCCTGCCAGGTTTGTGTCATCTGCAAATCGAATAAACCTGCCTTCTGTGTCTTCATCCAAATCATTGATAAAAACGTTAAAGATGACAGCGCATTCCATCATTCACTCAACAAATATTTGTCAAGTACCTATAGTATGTAGAGAACTCAGGACAGATATGAGAGGAGAAATCGTGTTTGTACTGGGACACGTCCTAAATTGTTTGCTTTCTGTAAACCCCCCAATATGAGATGGACTTCTTTCCTTGAAGATTTAATTCAGCTCATTAGATACTTATTGATCATTTATTCTTCCCTCAGCATCATGCTAAGCTTTGTTGAGGGAACAGAGGAATTAAACCCCATAACCCTGTTCCTTAGACACTTACCCTCTCATTAGTGAGTCAGGATTTGGCACACAAAACATTTTATGATGTGAGACGGGCAATACTTATATAATTGACAAAAAGAGGGAAAATATATTGGGTTCTGGCTGAGACTTTATTATCATTTTGGTTAAAGCTGCAAAACAATGATAGGTTTTTCAACTTCAAATTCTGCTCTCTGAAGGTAGAAATAGGTCTGATCCAACCTTGTGAAGGCAACGATTATGCCCTCACGTTGTCTTTACTTCTCTGGCCTGAACATCTGTAATTCTTTCATCTGACATGATTTGGGGATCTCCCCACCTCCCCACATCATTCTGGCCAGTCACACTAGGACTCCATCACCGCACAAAGCAAGCACTCAAGGTACATCTCCCGAATGAATATGTACGTAAAGGAACCAGAAAGCTCTACTTTGTTTACATCAGTCTCAAAAGAAAATGCTCAGAACTGAACATACTGCTGAAAATGGGGCCAGAAAAGTGGGCTCCTGGCAGTCCCCATGCTCTGAACATTGTATTTCTATTAATGCTGCTCAGATCCAGCCTTTTCTCTGTCTTTGCACAGGAGTGGCATAGGGGAGGGACAGTACGTTAATGCTTCATGCTAATTCTGTAGTCAGTTAAATCTGTGAGTCTTCACCACAAGGGGAACTAGATAACTTTGCAGTCAAGCCCCACACAATCCTGTACCAAGAAGGGCCACTGCACTTCCTTAGATGTGAGAAAGGATGGTGCGTCCCCCTGGGTATGTGTATCTTTAAGGTCACACTGGCATTCTGATCCCCATAGCACCTAAGCCCTTTGGGAATCTGAAGATTTTTCAGTATTTCTGGGAAGGAGGCCCAAGTGGGTGGGCATGGCAAGACACCTACAGGGAAATCCAAGGTGAGCTGACCTTCTTATACCAAGTGGGGGCCAAGAAGTCGGGTTTAGAATGGGCTCAACTACCCCAGCAGGAGACACTCAGTGTGTCAGTGGCAGTGTTCCTCAAAAGGAGAAACTGCCTCCAAATCAAAACAAACCAGGGAGAGCTAAAGATGGGCAAACCCAGCAGGAGTTGGGATTGTCCTGGTGTCCGCTTACTTAAGGCTGCAAGAAGTCAGGCAAGAAGAACCAACAGGGGTAAAGGAAGCAAAGCAGCCTCCCATGAAGACCCACCTCGAGCAGACACAGCCAGCCTATAGTTCATGCCAGGCTTTTTGGTTTGCATTCTCTCTTTGGTTCCCCCAAATAAAACTATGAGGTTGGCATGACTATCACGACTTCACAGTTGTGGAAACTGAGGCTTAGGGAGGTTCAGAAAGTTGCCCACAGTCACATCGCTGTAAGGGGTGCAGCCAGGCTGAGACCTGCACCCCTCCTCACCCCCCACCCCCACCTGTCCCCAAAGCCCTTGGACTGGAGCATCTTGCCACAGTGCTTTTGTTTCAAGAGTTTACTCATTCCTTAAAGATTTAATCCAGCACCCCTAATGTTCCAGCCCTGTGCTAAGCCCTGGGGACACAGCAGTAGAAGAGACACATGCCGTCCCTCATGGGGCTTAGCATTTGGCAAGAACAACAAACAGCCAGACAAGCAACTGCATTAAAGCAGGATCCTCGGGAGGGGGAGTGAAGGGCAAACTCATCCACACCAGGGATTAAGAGCCTTCCCTGGGGAAAAGAGCCCGGAGAGAGAAGCTGAAAGAATATGCTAGCAAGACCCCAAAGTGTGGGAGAGGGGCAGAGAGGGAACAAAAGCTGAAGGCAGGGAGGTGAGCGGGAACCACTGATGAGCTGAGTCCAAGGAGGCCGAGTGAAAAGCCAGAGGTCTAAGAGGCCCCCCACTCCTGCCGCCGAGGGGCTGAGAGGTGGGCAGAGGGAGGTTAGAGCCGCGTTCAGGAGGCCTGCGTGCACTGGGATCGTCGGGGCGAGAATCAGTAAGGCCAGGGGCTCTCACCAATTTGCAGAAGGGAGGCGCAAAGCCAGCCAAACTCTGTCCACCCGGTGGAGACAGACACACACTCAACCTGGACACTTAATTCACTTTCTCTGGCCTTCTGAAACCCACTGTATATGATCTTGGAGCTCTCTTAGCCCTTAACAGAGGCTCAGAGCAGCTCAGGGATTATGAAACCGAATTATTGGTTCCAGGGCATCATTGCCTGTAATGGTACCACGTATCTATACCTCGTGGTGCGTGCAGTGTACGTCCCCTCCCCCTGGATTTGGGGGTTCAGCTTTGAGTTGGCTTTAGCTGGTGGGCCATTAGCTAACCTGATGGGAGCCGAGGCTGGAAACGCACTTGCAAGGTTGGGCGGGCCCTCTTGCACTTTTGTCACGGCCAAGAGGAGATCATGCCGCTGCCTCTCAAGCCTGGACCCCGGAGTGAGACCCAACCCTGGTGTGCAGCCTAGAGCCCAGCTCAGCTGATTCCAGGTGATCTGCAGACCCTCGGGCTGACGCAGAGTCACCCCCGTTAACCCAGAGACTTGTGAACCTGTGGATTAGGCGTTCACAGTCACACACCATGGAATCTGGGGGCAATTCCTGGCCAGTGAGAGATCCCGCCAACCTTACAAAGACATGGCTGCTGTGCCATGGAGCGGGGCTGCCCCAGGGGCTGGGCATCTAGGGGGACAGCAATGCAAACCGTCAGCTCAGCCCCCACCTCATCCCACCCCCCACGCCCCTGCCGCCCAGCGCCGGGCACTCACCTGAGTCTGAGGCTGCCGGGCTCACCAGGCTGAGTAGCTCCCGCTCCTTCTCATAATCCCCTTTGCAGAGCAGCTGCCCCTCCTTCAGGACAAACTCGTCGCCCTTCTGGAGCTGCCGCTCACAGACGCAGCAGCAGAAGCAGCTCAAGTGGTACACGCTCTTCTGGGCCCGCATGACGAACTCATTGGGTGCAATGGCCTCGAAGCAGCCCCCACATTTGACCGCAAACAGCCTGGCAGCAGGGGAGAGAGGGAAGCAAGGTCTTTGAGAAAGGTCTGATTGGGCCCAGCTGGCCTCGGGTCAAGAAGAGCAAAAGAGACTCCAAGAGCTAGGGTGAGGGCAGTCGGAATGGAGTACACCCGAAATCCAGATGATGTGCTCTCCAGCGGGGCTGAACCAGAGGATTCAGTTGTGTTCCTCACCAAGGCTGAAGAAGAGCAGGGGCAGAGGCGCTGGAAGCATCCTGAGCCCAGCGCACGACCGGCGTGGTCTAGGACACGGTGTTCCCAAAGCGTGGTCTACACCCCGGTGGGATCCCTGGGGAAGCTTATTGTTCAAACCAAAGATCTCTAACACAGACGTCCAGGCCCACTCCCATCAGCCTGTAGGAGGGGGAACCCCAGGATGTGAATCTGTATGGCAAGCTTGGCAGGGCATTCTGAGGCCTAACGCGGTTGGTGAGACGGAAACTGTATCCCAGCTTCCCAGGGTGGCTTTCGATGAATTCAACCTCTCTCCCAGGACTTCTTATTTCACTTTTTTTCAACAGACCATGTAGAGGGTGGCCATCTATGCCAAGCCAAAGCAGTAGGCACTAGCGATGTTAAGGTGAATAAAAGAAAACCCCTTTCAGATATGAGCTCAGGCAACTGACATGTCTGTGCTGGTCATTCGGTAGCTTCCTGCTAAGGTTTCGAGATGCCAAATGCAGGGCACCTGGGGTTGCTCAGTCGCTTACGTGCCTGACTCTCAGTTTCGGCTCAGGTCATGTCTAAGGGTCATGAGATCCAGCCCTGCGTCGGGCTCCATGCTCAGCACAGAGCCTGCTTGAGATTCTTTCTTCCTCCCTCTTCCTCCCTCCCCTTCCCCTGCTCATGCTCACTCTCAAACTCTCTCTAAAATAAATAAAATCTTTAAAACTAAAATCAATAAAATCTTTTTTAAAAAGACACAAAAAAGCAGCGAGATCCAAAGGCCTGTGCCCTGCTACCAGCTACACCAGTAACTGCCTGCAAAACAACGAGCATGATTCCTTCCCTTTGCACTTCTTTTCTCCGGATGCTGCTAAGATGTGAGGCCAGACAATCTCTCCCAGCTTCATAAGCCTTACGGTGATCGCTTCCTACTGCTGACTTCAAACATCTTAATCTTGCCTCATCATTTAGCTTTTCCCATGCCTGTAGTTGAAGAACAAGACCTATGGAATAGTTGTATAACCCACACCCTCTTGCACCTGGTGGACACTCAGTAAACGTTGATTTGCTTTGACCCACCAATCTAACTCGTTCTCCTAAAATAACATGTGTAAAGAGCCATGCACTGGGGCTGCCACACAGTAGGTCCCAATAAAAATAACCCTTCTCCTTGCAACCCCCAGACCAGTAACAGTTCAGGGTAGTCTGGGGACAGATGAAAATTTAAAGCAGATCTATGTCTTTGTAAAATTGCCTCATGATAACATAATTGCCTTTGGCAACCCCTTTGGCATAAGCACAGAGATAATACACCCTAAAAATATCTCTGGGATTCATGCATTATAGCACTCATTTTTCTATCTCCAAAATAAACAGGTGTTTGGGGTTTTTGTGGGTTTTTTTTTTTTTGCTTTTTAAAAAAAATATTTTATTTATTTATTCATTCATGACAGAGAGAGAGGGGCAGGGAAAAAGGCAGAGGGAGAAGGAGGCTCCATGCAGGGAGCCTGAGGTGGGACTTGATCCCAGGTCTTCAGGATCAAGCCTTGGGCTGAAGGTGGTGCTAAACTGCTGAGCCACCTGGGCTGCCCTTTGCTTTTTTATGTAGTAGCACAACAGGGGGAAAAGAATCTCTCCCAAAACCTCTCTCTCTCTCTCTCTCTCTCTCTCTCTCTCTCTCTCTCTCCTCACATACCAGAGGGTCAACAGACATGGACAGTTCAGATGGTGTAGGGCGAGGATGGCAGCAAGAGGCGACCAATGGCCAGAATCCATTGAACTCCACGCCCTCCTCTCTTCGCAGAGACACACACACCAGCCAACTGAGAGCACTCAGAGCTGACGCCACCTTGCTCTGCTAACAAGTCCCATGTTGGTGGGAACTGAGGATGCAGAATAACTGAAGAGCCTTTTCTTATACACAGGCCAACCACCATCATGGCCTAAGTGTGGCCAACCCCATCTCCATTCACACATTCATTTACCCGTCTACTCTTCTCTTCACCCATTCATTCATTCGGAAGCACCCACCTCGCACTAACACCACACACTGTCCTAACTGGGAGAGGAAGAAGAGAAACCACCACCCAGCAACATTCACATCCGCAAACCATTGTACATGGAGTGTCCATTAGGTGTCGGGCACTGTTGTAGGCACAAAATCATCCAAAACCACGTCTTCAACCCCGCAGAGCTCACACACTAGCGAGAGAAACAGCAAACAAAACAAAAAAATACCAAATAACCTCTGCCCATAGAGATTTACCTGTGGGAAGGGAATACAAGAACAATACAAAATGTCCAGTGAATACACAACAGAAAGGCGTCAAGCCATACTTTGTTGATAAAACAATCCCTTCCCAGCTCTAGAGCTGTACGAGTTCATGACTCCAAGTCTACTTGGAAGCTTTCTGAAGAAGGGAAGAGTTTTGAGGGTGAGGAGGAAGCGAAGGAGGGGTTCCCAAGGAGGCGCTACACACAGACTGGCCAAAGGAAAATGGAAGCCATTCAAATTCTTTGGGTGAAGGAAGCCAAGGCCTGGGGAAGCGAATGAAGCGCCCTCCCATGACTCCATGATGGAACAGCCTCCCAGGACAGAGGCCAGCCAGCGGGTGATGCCAGCACAGCTCAGGATCAGGAATGCATGAGCTCCCGCTCCCTCTCAACCCAGTCCTTGGGCCACCACACCAGCCCCTCACCCCCGGCCATCAGGAGCGCCTTAGAGCCCCCATCCTGATATGCCCGCCCTCTGCCTCTCGACATCCAAGGGGCTAGGGTGGCTCTTCCACCACCGACAAGGTATACGACAGCCCCAAACCACAACTCCAGAAACCAGCAGCCCTGCCTTCTCCTACCCCCTCTCTCCAGCTCCATATCCAACCTCCTCTGCAGGGCACACCAGTCCCCCGAACATGTGCCTTTACTTCCTGCCCCCTCGCTGGATGCTGGATGCTGGATGCATGGGGCAGAAAAATCACCCGGTTCCTCCCTGGCCCCTCATCCCTAGTCACTGTTTGCCAACCTGAGCAAACTAATCAATGCCTTTCCGGGGGGCTGGTCAAAGGCCCTTTGTCCCCAGAGCCCTCCTTCTCCTCCCCTTCCCCTAAGGGAGCTGTTAAACAGACTCCCAGGGAGTCAACAAGCACTTGAGGCAGCCGCAGGTGGTTGCATCTGTGCTGGCCCGGCTTCCACCCTGTTAATCTCCTCCCCTTTCTCCGCCCTTCTTCATTTCATCCCTCTCTCCTAAAACTTTCCCCAACTTGGAGAAGGGAGGGTCGGGGTGAGCTCCGCAAAGAAAGGCCACCGTGTTGACTCAGGAGAGGCCGGAGAAAGTGGCGGGAGTTGTCGGGGCTCCAGTCCTGAGATGGTCACGGTCAGTGGGGATTACGGGCCAGGAAGGGAGGGTGGAGAGGGGGAAAAGGTGGGGGACAGCCCCATCTCTCTCCATTCTCTCCACTGGCTCGCCTCCTTCTGGGTGAAGACCAGGTCAACCTCACCCCACTACCGTGACTCTCGTCACCCTCCCTAACCCCAGCGCAGTGCAAGGAGAAGAGGCGCACACAGTCCACCACCTGTGTGCCAGATGTGTACACAGCTGTACGGGTGCCCCTGTGGCCCCAGCCGCCGGCTGCACACCTCCCACAAGTTGTTTTCTCTAAGGCTCAGACAAGCAGAGAAAAGGATTTGTTCAAAAGTCCAGGTCGTAATTAAAACACAGCCTGTCTCTTCCCAATGCCCTGGATGGCGTCCCCCACGGTTCCTTCCCCCTCTGAATGCTAATGAGACCGCACTCTGGGTTCATAGCCTGGCAGACTGACTGTGCCCTTGAAAGGCTACACAAGGTTTCCAGAAATGTCCAGCTCCTCCAGGCATGCGTAACAACTCCCAACTCCTCCTCCCGTTGGAAATTCTCCTAGCCCTGCAAACTCTTCGAGTGATTCCTTATCTCCTCTTTGCATCGAATTCTATAATTCACCTATAAAATGGGAACAAGGGGACACCTGGGTGGCTCAGTGGTTGTGCATCTGCCTTTGGCTCAGGACGTGATCCCAGGGTCCTGGGATCAAGTCCCGCATCGGGCTCCCCGTACGGAGCCTGCTTCTCCCTCTGCCTGTGTCTCTCATGAATAAATAATCTTTAAAAAATAATAATAAAATAAAATGGGAACAATACCCTGTGGCTCACCAAAGAGCCCCGGGGCGGTGCCCGTTCCAGAGCCAAAGGCCGCAGTTACCGCTCTCCTTGCTCCAGTGAACGCCCTCTGCAGGGGGCTCCCGGGGTGTCCCGGACTCCGGGAGCTCCCAAGGCTGCAGATGCAGCCCATAGCAGTTCTCAACACAGACCACAACACCGTGTGTCCGGAGTATGCAGGAGGGAGGAAGCCAGAGTGGCACAAAGGAGAGCCCCAGCCACTTGGTTTAGGGGTCCTGGAATCTCTGGTCTTGCCCTCCCCCTCCCTCTCCTCCCTGTCCCCCTCCCCCTGGTGCTTTCCCACACCATCCACCAGGCTGGGATGTAGCCTGGCTGCAATTCCATTCAGTGTCCTGCTGCCACCCCTCCCTGTAGAGCCCCCCACTCTCCCACAGCCATGAGATGGGCCACTTGCAGTCTTGGCGACAGAGCCTGAGCCGGCAGGTACTGTTGCTGCCCGCTGTCCCTAGTAGGACTGGGAGCAGAGCACGGAATCTTCTGCAGCCTCGGTCTGCTCAGATATAAAAGGCAGTAATGATGCCTCGCTGCTGGGTCAGCGAGGACTAGACGAGAACATGGGTGCGGAGTACTTTATCATCCATCAGGGGCCGCACATGCTGTAGTCATT